AGATAGTATATTGGATTATTATTATTATTATTATTATTATTATTATTATTATTATTATTATTAGTATTGTTGTTGTTGTTGTTGTTGTTATTGGAATATGTTTTCTCAGCTAATGAAAGGAAATATTCATTAAATGCACTTGCGATAGCTTGTGGATTGTTAGTGGACTTCCCTTCAATATTCAAACTTTGTACGTCTTCATTAACAGATTTCTTTCCTGATTCAACTTTCACAATATCCCAGGTGGTTTTAATTTTATTGTTTGATTTTAGAATTTGGCTGTTATAGTTATTCTGTTTGGCTTCTTTAATGACTTTTGACAAAATTTTACAGTACATTTTGTAGTGACTTTTTAGTCTTGGATCATTACTGTCCCTACTGGCCAAATATAGTTGTCTTTTGTGTTTACATGAAGTTTTTATTCCAATTGTTATCCAGGTGGATTTGTTTTTATTTTCATTTTTGACTATTTTTAAGGGAAAGCTTGAATAAAAGATCCTCAAGTATGTGTTCAGAAAGCAATTAAATTTAGAATCAATATTATTGCTGTCAAATACATTGTCCCATGATTCATTACTTAATTTTGTGACAAAATCTGCCATCGTATGCTTGTTGATTTTCCTTACTGTTTGATATTGTTGATTACTGGGCTGAAGGTCAATATTATTTATTTCTATGAGTTGAGCATCATGATCGGATAAGCCATTTATAAAGGGTCCTACAGTATAGTCTCTTAATTTTGAGTTATCAATGAATATATTATCTATCGCTGAACTAGAATTATTTTGAACTCTTGTGGGAAAGTTAACAGTACTGGAGAGATTGTAAGATGATAACAAAGAGTCTAAATTTAGTTTCCTATTACTGTCGATGAGATAGTTTATATTTATATCACCACAAATTATAAATTCAACTTTTGAACTATGCAGTACATTTAGGATGGTTTCTAATCTATTTATAAAGTGATTGAAGTTTCCAGATGGGGCTCTATATAAAGTCAGTATACAAATATTAGAAAAAGGAGAGTCTAACTTTAGAGCACATGCTTCCAGATCCTGGTCTTTGCAATAATCTTCTAAATTTATTTTAGTAAATTTTAGGTTTTCATGTACAAAAATACTCACTCCTCCTTTCTCCAGTGTTTTCCTACAGTATCTAGCACCTAAATTATAATTTTCTAAGTGAAGCTGAAAGAGTTGTTCTCACATATGACTAGTAATTACACAAGCCATACTTGAATGTCTACATTCCTCCTATCTGATCTCTGGTGTATATAATAACTTCAGTTCTGCAGCGACTGAGATTAGCTGTATCTACCTAACCCAACTGACTACATGCCTCCCCACCCTTTCACCTGTGATTCCACTGTTTCTTAAGATCATGGGTGCCTAAGACTGAGTGCCCACGAGGATTAGCATTCATTAATCTTAAAGCTGTAAATCCCACTCACACGGCAATTTTCACATTTTTATATTACAAGGTTTCTCTTGTTCACAGGAAGGAACTTACATGAGCATTTACATAACTGATACCAGTAAGGCTTTTGCACAGAATATAAAATAAATGTCATTTGTTACATGCTAAATTGAACCACAGTAAAAACCTGAAGTCCAGCAATGTGACATGATTTTACTACAACATTAAGGGAATAACTACATTCAATACAGGACAATCCAGCACAAAATGCTTCAGAGACACCATACAAATGTGTTTCCTTAAAAAGGATACAACTTCAGCTGCAGTCAAGCAGATTATTTGAATCTTAAGGATGTTCATTTCTGGTCTTGATTTTAACCAACCCCAGATATATAACACAAAAACTAATGTCTAACAATTACACTACAAACATTCTTATAAGGGGGGGGGGGTACCACTTCATCATCAACCTAAATAATACAAGCACGAGGGTGCAAAATTATTCAAATAAAGCAGACAACAATTTTCCTTAAGTCTCAGCTCGAATTATACATTAGTTTGGAGAGGTATACAAATGACACACTTAACTGGCCTGCTTCAAAGTTACATCTGTATTTATTTTCTGTTCATTGACATGTATACCACAATCCTAGTTCCACAAAAGTCATCAACATAGAAAAATCCATGGGACATTCCATTTTAACAAGCTCTAACACAAGGCTACTCAACTGTCACCTGTTGCCATTGTACACCATGCATATGATTTAAAATATTTAATCATGCCATACATGGCACAATGGTAAATCTGAGTACCTTTCCCACTGTGCAGTCTACTGACTAAAACTCTTAACATACATACATGCATGACAAAACTTTTCCTATTTCATGGGAAAATGCTTATACCATCTCAATGAAGTACTGACAAGCCTCTTGCCTTCACTGTGGGTACTTTCAGTAAATGGAGTCACTACAGTGAAGAATACTGCAATCTCACTGGATTGATAACCTTATAGGTAAAACAGTACTCACATCAAACATTATAAAATGAGGTTCCATTCAGCTGGTGTGACAATATTTTTAACCTGATATAAGACAGTTTGCGAAAAAGAGAGGTATAATGCTTAATAAAAGGTAAAGCTATCCCTAGAAGAAGCTGTGAAGGCCCATAGGGTTGTGAGACGTCAAGGCTCCCACATTTTCTCTAGATAATCAGTTCACAGATGGTAGTAAGGTTGTCAACCTTTCACACCAGCCGTCCTTTACCACCCAGGAAGAATCCTGGTACTAATTTCTGTTAGAGGCTGAGTTGACCCCAGAGCCATTGTGTGGCTGGAAGGATTAGGTCAATTGAAAAATCCGCCTCATTGGGACTCAAACCCACAACCTTCCAGCTTGTAGCACAGTGCCTCAATCAACTACATTACTACATGCCCCATACGATTCTTAACCATTAAGAGACTGGCCGTTTAAATTCCGGTAATGGCGGCGGGCCGGAGTTAATTTAAATGCCCGCCACTGTAGAGTAAAAAAAATTGTAATCATGTTACTGAAAATGCTGTAATTTCTACAATTTTTGTGATAAACGAACGAAATAAACGCTGCTTTTATCTAGAAAGAATATAGAATCAGATATTGTAATTTACAGATTTTAAAATCTCTAAAAATTGTTACACTGATTTCAAAAAAAAAATTCCAATTTCGAACGTCTCTCTACAAATATGCATACATTTTCTGCACAAAACATTTCTGCAGTATAAATGCCTGCTGCTGACATCATTCATACTGGTGCTGTCTTATCTGGCCAAAGGGGAGGAAATGTTCATGCTTTTATAGCACTCCCAACCTTTCTGTATATAGGAGTGAGGTCACGTCCCTCAGAAACTCTGCCTGTGTATATCTGCCACACAAGAAGTACTGTTAAGCTTCTTAGAAAGGCCCCCACATGGCCCCTTGCTTCTGCGTACTTTCAGTCTTATGTACCGCATTCTAAATCGGTGACATTTATCAGCTGCCTATCAACTTCGGCTTCTTCCATGCGAAATGGGGCCATGGGAGATAGTTGAAATTGTGATGTTTTATAAGCGTTATGATTAGAGAAGGCAAATCGGCAACACTGGCTGACTTCCTGCTAATACGAGACTGATGTAGCGTGTGGCTTTGCGTGGAAAAGAGATTTACATACGGACAAAGTGCATGAATTGCAACGTCGGAATGTGCATTCAGTTACATGACGCAGGAGGGAAGACTGTCTACTTATAAAGCGGGTGCCCAAAAATAATGTAAGTAGAACAAGAATTTCTATCTTAAAATTAGATTTTAAAACACTGTGAACACCCGCAGACTGCGCGTACTCATTCAGAGTTGCACGGCTACTCAGCTATACTTTAAAGGTCCCCATATGTCTTTCAGCTCTTAAAGGTTAATAATGGATTGAAATGGACGTGTGAGGTAAGCACTTATAATAGCAGTCATTTTACAACACAAATGAGTATGCAACATTCTGGCCACAGCACAATGGAACCAAATTTACAGAAGTTTGAAATTCCACATGCAGATCCAGCTATTTTAATACAGACATGTCATGAGTTACTTCTAACAGATTCTGATGATGGTGTATTATATTCAGGATTACGGTGTTTCTGAATTTTGTCTGTCAAATATTCTAAAGAACACAACATTTCAGAAACTGATCCAGTTTCTGAAATACTGTATTCTTTCAAATCATTAGAAGACAGGCAAAGTCCAGAAACTCAGTAACCCCAAGTAAATCTTATAGTTGAACACTCCAATGCGAATATGTCAGTCAGTGTAGTTTAAATACTTGCAGTACCCAAGTAATAGTCGCAGGTGAAGGCGCCATTGCCTTCCATTTTATACACACTATTTTATAATATGTGCAGAATATTCCATAAAAAAACTATGGAAAATTGGATAATTCCTTAAAGGCTCAGTTCCATGCACACATCACTTGATCCATGCAACAACACAATTCTCACCTTTGGACTAAGTGAACTGCTGTCTTCCACATTCTCTTTGGATTGCTGACCCAAACAGAACAACGAACCATTGTCTCACAACTTTATTCCAGAAAAATGCAATGAAAAAGAAACTAATACTGTGAGGCTCCCTTGCTTTAAGATGTTAAGCATTAACAATGAAAGGAAATATCCCCTATGGTCAAAAAGTATTTGACATGCCAGTGTACACAACGTATGAATACTAGACTGACCCATTAACAGTTACAGAGACAGTTCATCACTGCACACTTAAAAAGAGTTTTGTTTTGTATATGTTAACAGAGCTTAATATCAAGTTGCCCTTTATAAAGATTTATCACTGTGGATTTCATAATTAGACAGCCACTGAAGACTACAGCTCTACCTGCCATTAACAATGCCCAAAACAAGCAGAAAATATTTCCACACATATTACAAACATTCGATTATGGAGCCATTATCATGAGAAAATCCCTTGTACGTTTATTTACAAGTGAAGTAATATTCTTGGAGAGAATTTCTCCTCAGGTATTATACAACTACACTTGTACTTACAGTAAATACAATTATGCAACTCAGGAAACATACCGAAAAGTACTGCTCTGCTTCAAGCTGATCCTGCAGTTCCTTCATTTGGAGGTCATCAACAGAGCGTGCTGTCTTCACCTTGTGCAGTTCCTCCTCAACTGACTTCTTTCCCTCCCTGAGCTGTATCACTTCATGAGTCAGCTGCGCTTCTCTTGCTCGGAGATGAGCTGCCTCAGAAGACACTATGCCCACCTCTGTCTGCAGTGCAGACTTCTTCTGCTGCTCTTGTTCAACTTGTGCTTGTAATGCTTTCACCTGGGCACAACAGAACAACTTTGTTTTATTTACATGAAATCAGCAAGTCTAACAGAAAATCCTTGATATATTCTTGGAGCATGGGGAGTCAGAGCAGTAGATGGGGAGAGGCAGGGGGTATACAATTCTTTTATATTTAATCTGATTACATATGAACTCCTCAAAAATATAACAAATGAAAGCAGACCTAGACAAAAATGTGAATCTGAAATGTTATTAAATCGTTTCCATGTTAACCTGCAGTTTCAACGTGATGTTCACTTATCTGTTGCTCATATGACTGTACTTCGAATAATTATTTCCTAAGTACATATGGTAATCCCTGGGGCCTATGACCAAGAGATGATTCAGGCAGCAGACCACAGTTGTAGCATTCACAAGCTGGGCAAAAGCAAAACACTTTTATACATTCTGATATCTTCATGAAACCAAATAATTGAAATTAACATGTAAGCCAGCAGGAACATGTTACTTATTTATAATCCCAATTTAGCTGCAATGAGTGTAATGTACATTAACACATGGGCCCATTACTCGTAACAATGCAATCAATGAACATTAACAATGCCATCTGTTATTGCACTCTGGGGTTACGATCGCAAGCAAGGCTGGCAAGTGGCATGACCTGCAGCTCTAAGATGAATTCCCAGCAAACTTAACCACAACCACCCATTCAAGGTCATCTCAAGATTAAATTCAAATTTACACATACGGAGGGATCAGAAACATCTTGATTAGCATTGTACAATATGAATCTGCCTTATTTGAACTTAGATATCACAGAACTTCTGATTTTTCAGTTGCTTAGTGCAGCTATACAAATGGTTAAGTATGTGTATGCTAAGTTTCTTGAAAGATAAAATCCATGCACCAACAAATCTGTAAATAAAAAAGAAACTAGGAAACTGAAACGTTTGTATGTCAGTATACATAAGCGTTCACAGAACAAGTTACTTCCATTACATCAGGAACTCTGGAGTTCATGGAAAGGATCATTACTTCAACATCATTCACATCTTACTAGTATAGTTTGCATTTGCAATAACAATGAAAATGAAAGGATGCAAAAGGCCCATACCTTTTCACTTTCCTGCCGATGTTCTCCTTCTAGCTTCTGTAACCGCTGCTGGATTTGCCGATAGTCAACAGACAACATGGACATTTGTCTCTCTTTCTCCTGGCTCTGTAGGTCAGCCTTCTGGCGAGCACTCTTTTCCTCATTCAACTTTGCCTGCAGTGCTGTAAGCAGCAGAAACATAATTATGAGAGAGAAGTTTCGTGCCACCTAAATTCCTGAATTTCAGATCTTGATAATCATACTTTGAAAAATCAGTGTTGCCTAAATCTAAAACAAATTCAATGCAATCAAGAGGCCTGAATATGAAGAACAAAATTATTTGGCATGTTTATTTCATGCTGTTGTATTTTTGCTACTGTTTGATTTAGCATTATTTGCTATTATATTTGACCAACTTAAATGCTGTCAAAAAGATGATTACTGCCTTGTGAAACTCCAATACAGCAGACATGATACAGTGACCAATATTTTTATATAGGTTCCATAATCTACCCAGTATCTAATATCATTACTTGTACACTGGCTCTTACAAGTAGCAGCATTCTATAAGACAGATACATAGACAAAACTGGCCACTGCATGACAGAAAAACACAAGAATCAAGGAATGTCCAATAGCAAACATAATTTTACACATCATTTTATATAAAAAAAAAAGGTACAGCTATCGCTGTAACAGGGCTTGGAGGGCCATAAGGCTGTAAGATGTTGAGGCTCCCACATTTTCTAGACAAATGGCTCACAAATGGAGGTAAAGTTGTCAGCCTTACACGCCGGCTACCCTCCCCCCTTCCCCCAGAAGATTCCTGGTACTCATGTGTGTTAGAGGCTGAGTCAACCCCAGGGCCACAGCATGGCTGGAACAATTAGGTCAACTGAAAAATCCAATGACCTAATTGAGAATTGAAACGGCAACCTTCTGGCTTGTAGCACAGTGCCTCAACCAATTACGCTACTGCATGCATTTTTATTAGTTCTATAACTACAAATATAACTAGGCATAATACTCAACAGATGACCAGTCTCTCAGTAGAAGCATGGCATCAAAAAATGTTAATATATGTAAAACTGAGTTACCTCTAAAAATGTGATCCATTCGGCCTGCACCAAAATGAAAAACAGATGTATTTGCAATTACATGTGCAGCATGACATAAGATTAGTATCTGTGTGCACTTGTGACATGGATGGAAAACTGAAAACTTTCTGTTCACATCTCAGAGAACAATGACCCTTATCCACCTAGTTCTGTGAGAGCTCTGATACTATCAATTCTTTTTTATATCATTTGCTGGGGTTCCTGCAACAATTCTAGTAATTTCTTCCTCCTACTGACACATGTAAAAGTCTGCAGATGATGCTTATGTAATCCAGTGGCAATATATTCAAATATATTTTATATATATATATTGTAACATGTTTCGTTACTGAAGACGCCGTAGAGATCGTTAATTGGTTTATTCAACAATCTACAAGTAACGGCTAAAATTAATTATCACAAGGTTACGGG